GCCAACAGGAATTCAAATGTAGTCACATTTACCGGGTCAAATCATTGTCTGCAAGCGTGAAATTAACAAATTGTTTAACTGCCCCAATGGTATCGGGAAATGAATAAACAAAATATGAGACTATCAGCAGCCTAAGCAATCCGAGAAGCATCTGGGTCAGTGCGCACAATTCGTGCACTTGGAATAACTAGGTCGACAGTGTGTGTTCAGAACGTTCGGTCTATTCATGTTGAACATGTCTGGACACAATTTGTAGACCCAAAAGTACTAATGAGACAGTAATTTCTCTCGCCTCACTAATTTCAGTTGAACTACTTTTTTTTCTTACATGTTTCACTGTCCATCATCAGTCCTGCTCTACGGGGCAGGGATACGACGACTATGGGAACAGGATAAAAGAACACCACTGTCTACGCTGCATTGCACAAGCCTGGTGGGGCGATTGGACAAGCATTGATGAGGTTAGACGCAGAGTTTTCGGTAATTGCAGTTTTGTCCCCTGGAAAGAAACGGTCGACCTCCACTGATTACAGTGGTTGGAGCGTGTTACGCATAGCACCAAATAGATGGCCACGATGGTGCACGATGTTTACAGAGGCAAGCAACGGGGTGAAAAAAAGGGTCGAGGGTGGTCAATATAAGAAAACTCGGACGAGACGATGACTATGTACTACTGATGAACTCTAGTAAGAGTGAAACTCGAGTCTAGTTCGTCCGTGAGTATGGTTGACTGAATGAACTGCGGATTTTGCGTGAGGATGAAATCTGAAGAATGATCAGTTCAAATCTAGATCAGAGTGCTTTCTCTCTCTCTCAGGTGGAAGAGAACGAAGTCTAGAACGGGAACACATCACCCGGTGTTTTACTGGTTAGACTAACTGAGTGAGCACAGAGGAGAAAAATGATATGATCAATAATTTGAATTTTCCACTAAAATATTTATTTGAGTGAGATCCCAGTTAGAAGCATAATATTTCTGTTTTGTTAATGTGCGTTTTGTTTTGTTTGGTTGATTTTTCACTCTGAAAACTTGGCTCATCCACTCGATCGGTACTCCGTGCGTGGTCGATTCCACCAACCAACTCCACTGGGAATACAACCACCGNACACCAATACTCGCTCCACGATAGTAGAATCGGTACCAAACGTGGCCTGCGTGACAAGTAAGCCTATGTGCATATGATAGTATATATAGATATATTCAGTCATACACACACACACACAATGCATCTCATTTTATCCGCGGTTTTTTGTTCGACCTCAACACCCATCATTTGCAAACATGTGTACGAGTGTGAGCTCGAGCACATATTTTCAATCCAGATTTGTATAGCGCTATAGCAACTATCTTATCCATGGCCACCTATCTCCTAACCCCCACCCCGCCCCGCCCCGGTAAGTTCCGTTCTCGATAAAACAGTTCCAAAAACAGTCATCGAACCGATCAGCTTGGGTTCCTCATTCATGTTGGGCGGTTGATTCAACTACCAAACGTTCCCTCGNGAATGGGTTTGCGCGCGGAGCGGGATATAAACCAGGAATTATATGTATAGAATTGGATTCCATAATAAACATACTGCGTAACATTATGCATCAAATGGATGGTACAAAACAGAAAAAAACATAACTCTCTTTAATCACGTGACTCTATTACTGCTAACCTACAGCAGATGATCAGTTCAAATTTAATGTGAAAATCTTCTAAAATAGAGCTTCGAAGTTATTGAGTTGAATACGTGTGGAATCATTCCCGTCGTCGGTGAGAAATATATTCAACACAGCTGAAAAAACTTCACTCGTGAATTTCGGTAGGAATGCGATTAGGTGTGTTGTTACATGATAACGAATTCACTTCCCACCCACCCCAAATAAGTCATTATTCGCACAACTGTAACTGATTGATTGATTAGAACTAATCATCCTTCAGACTTCACCCTCATGCATATTCCTCCGCTCTTCCAGTTAACTGTACATTCGGAAGAGCTGAGGATTTCGCGTGAAGGTGAAGTCTGAAGGATGGTCATTTCTAATCTATCAATCAATCAATCAGTCATAATTACCCGCACAACACAACTCCCAAGTAATTGTGAGTTAAATGCGAATTAACAACTGTAACTGTTTGCTCACTAGTTCATTTGAGGCCAGGTTGATCTACCTTCTCGTTCGACAGCTTCATTGGACTTTGTGATCTTGGGATTCAATAACGGTGGTACTCTGTAGAAATCAAAGTTGATTAAACTGATCGGTCTGACGCGCATCGTATTCTCACAAATTGTTATCGTTAATGGTTCGGATTGTTGGTGAATGAGATGGGACCAGCATTGTTCACCCTAGTACTCATACGCTTCATCAATCCCCGAAATCGAACGATACAACTCAAAACGCGCAAAACGACTTGAGATGTCAAACTTCAAGGGATTGGCTTATGTAGAATTCTAAGATATGGTCATGTTGGTAATGCATCTTTAAACTGCATGGAGAAGAGTTATTATAGTCGACACTAGAATGTTCCAGACAAAATATACGATCTACCACACATTCTTTGGTGCTCATTTATCCGTAGTGAGAATCATAAGACTATCGTCACCCCGCTGGTTAGACTATAGCGTCTTACAAATTCTATTGGTCTCAGAAATTCCGAGAAACAGTGTTTAACTGAAAACCCCGTGAATTATGTCGCTAATTGTTCGCGAGTTTGATCGTTTGTCACTAGAGAGAGAGATATTCCCATTGGTTCTCGGACTTTAGACTCCATGTTGTATGTTATACGAACTAATCTTATCTTTCATTCCTCGATCAGACCCCGTTCCTCTTGTAGTAGTATCATGATGCTCGTGTCGTTGTGATGGTGAAGACGGTGATGGGGATGACGGTCCATGAAGGCGTCGATGTCGTCGCCGTATTGATCCCCAT